GGAGCTAAGCTTCTTCCAGCAAGTGCTGCTATTGTTAACAAGCGGGTGTTGCTCCGATCGGTGGTGATAATCTCGCACGCGCGCAAGATTGCCGCTGCAATCTTTTGGGTTTTAGGAGCAACAACAAGCTGGCACCGCAAGTTGGCACTGCTTGCGAGTGTAATTTTAATGGCACTCATCAGGCATTGCTTTCTTTCAGCTTTTTTTCAGTCGCGCGACTTCCGCGGGTATCGACACAGCACGCGCCGCCGCGGCGTTTCTCCTCCTTCCCCCCCGCTCTTCAGGTCTTCCTCCCTCGTTAATGGCGTTAATAATACCCCCGTTTAACATCGATCGCCAAATCGCCGCGAGTCCTGCTCGCTCGAGTCGTGTAACTGAAGCGGCGCAACGACGCACATTTTCACACATTCGAAATCATCACATTTTCGCCGGCTCCTCAGATATTTCATTCCCGAGAGAATCGATACCGCAAACGCCTCGATAACATCCCCGGCAACGGGATTACGCGAGTCCGTATAATTAACAAGATACGACTCTCATCGACCGAATATTCCGGTTCACACATCTTGGCCGCGTTTCTTTCCCTCAAACTCGGATTGATTTTACTTCATGGACAGGCAATGTTACGTATAAAAGCGGAGCTCGGAACATTTCCCGACTGAAATTATTCGCAACAAGTATAAGTATAAGACTGACCGATTAACAGATCGATTAACGACCATCGATTTTGACCATCGAGCAGACATTTTTTGCCGGAACGAACAAGAGAGATTCCCTTCGCGCCAGAGCGCGGTTCAGCGCGTTTCTTGTCGATTCCAGCCGGTCCGTTGTCCGCTCGATGACTAGCTCTCACTGGCCAATTTCATCGTCGTTTCGCGCGTTCCTTCCCGAATAGTTTCATATTCGTTCACACGAGCGAGTGGAACGCGCGCAGAAAGCGCGTTTCGCCACGAATTTTCGAGCGTACTCCCGGGGCGACCCTGGGGGGGGGCACGTCGCCCCGAGCTGGACGTCGATAATTATCCGGGGGTGATGGGGTCACGGGTCGCCAATTTTTCGACGCATCGGGCGGCGGATGAAAACAGCGCTGTCCGATGTAGGACAGAATCGTCGCGGGGTGAACGGCACAGACCCCCTGCTTAGAGACATCGCGCATCTGCGCAAACGTCGCCTGCGAGGCTCAATAATTCGCCGAGGTAATCGCGGATCGGCCGATCCTCGCGCCGCTCGTGGAATCGACCTCCGCCTTCGCGGAGCGAATTGCGCACTTCTTCCGCGACCTTGTGTCATTGTTCACGCTGATTCATTTCCGGACGATTAATCGCGCGCGCGCGCGCGCGAGACGAAAACGCGCCCTGAATTACACGTATTGAATTCCCTGTCAACAGGGAAAGTACACGTGTATACAAACTCGGTGTTGAAAGTCGAGATATCCGAATTGAACAGCCAGTTCATGTTTCAAGTCACCTACGTGTCCTTCCTACCTACCTAGAACCGCTATCATAATCGCTCTTTAACGGCCTGCTCTCCCCTCCCTCCTCCCCTCTCAACTGTCTCTCTCTTGCCGCGTTATTTGTTATTCATCTGTTTTTCTCGGCCGTGAGTTCGGCGTTTCACGGAGGAAGACGCACGCGAAGGCGCGCGTCGCGGAATATCTTATTCTATTCCACTCCGATTCATCATCTCGGACGTCGGTCGTCTATTAATTTCGGGGGCCGCACTACGGTGGCTCTCCTCTCTCTCTCTCTCTCTCTCTCTCTAATCCATTCAATCTATTCTATTAAATCCATATATTCTCCCCTCCCCTTCCCAAAAGGACGAAGCGGGCCCGAGTCGGTCGCGCTCATCGATCGCGGCTCGCGCGTAAACTTTCTTCTCCTCTTCGCTGAGATGCATCCCCTCTGATCGCCTCCGAAAGTCGGTAAGATAAGCGGGAGCGAAGTCATTCCTCGCGCGTGTGTCGCATCCTCGCGCGGAGTTAATTCCGAGATAATTGGGTATTTTGGCGGAAAATGTTCCCGTAAACAAGCCGCTATCGAGACGAAGAAAGGAAGCCGGGAAGAAGGAGCGATCGCGCTCTTCCACGCGAGTGGAAGAGACGCTACGAGTGGAAGACTCGCAGCGAGAAGAAGGGGGGGGGGCGCGTGGAAACGAGTTTCCCGCGACTATCGAAGGAGATATATTAAGCTCGCGTATTCTCGATGAAAGGAGCCGATCGCTCGCGTTCAGCGCGCGTGTCTCATCAGCTGCTTAATTAGCCGGTCGATCGCCTCGCGTAGCGTAAAGCTTGGTCGGCGTATGCAGCGACAAAAGAGGGAATAAGGGGACGCGAAAGGAACATCGGCGACGAGCTATCGATCGACGGATAATTATACGCGGTCGATGTTAAGATTTCCCTCCGGAGACATTGTGATACTTAATAACGGCGATTACGCGCGCCGCGGCCGTCCTTCTCCGCGCGGAAAGCTGCGAGCGACTGCGTGTCGCGTCGCGGCGCGGCGGGGCTGCGACGATAAAATTCACGGCTGTGAAATTCCGAGCGGGCGACGAAATTTCGATCTCGCCACGGCGCGGCGGCGGAAATATAGACAACGCAAGTTCCGCCTGACAAAAGCCGACGATCGCCCGCAAAGCCGCGGGCCGGCGTTTTTTCGCGCCGCGCCGGTCGCTGCGGTTTCCTTACGATTTTATCCACTTAGCCCTTAGACTCGGTCCTCCGCGCGCGCTGGCGCCCAACTCTTTGCATGCAACTATCGACGAGAAATCCGCCACTGAGAATGCCATCCATCCTCCTGCCGCGTTTATACGCGGAAAATATCGCGCGCAAGGGGGGAGATGAATGCGCGTTCATGCGCGCGCGCGCGCGCGGATGTTTTCAGCGACTTTAGCGAGAGCTTTGTGAAATATAAAGGGGACGGGACGCCCTGCATTCGCGGGCAAAATCCAGCGCGAGACACAGCGCGCTCTCTGTGCCTCAGCCGGAAGGAGCGCGTAAGAATTCTATTTAGCGGCTGACGAGCTCTCTCTCTCTCTCTCTCTCTCTCTCTGTCACCTCGCGCGGGAAAGTTCTTGGGATTTCAGCGGGATCCAGTCCGATTTTCCAAAGTTTACGACTGCGCAGATTCAACTTGGAAATGTAACGTTTCAAACGCGCCGCTCTATATATAAGTGGAGGAGCTCCAAAGTTTCTCCGATATTGCTGCTGCTGCTTTTCGTTTTACATGAAAATTTTACTTCTCCTTCGATTTGCATCCAGTCGTTTTGTATGTATACAATAGTTGGCAGCGGAAATGGAATTTCCTGTTCGATATCATCAAAGCATACCGACATTATCGACTGAGAAGAGATGCGCGAAATTTCCGACAGTACTGGCAGTTTTTATTCGATTCTATTTCGAGTTTGCCTCTGAGAGCGGGATTCCCCCGGTTGGCAAGTCGCAAGTCCGGGACAAACTCGAGGGTTCTAATCGGTATCTGGTAAAACACCGAGAAATTTCCATACGGCCGCTTCTCGCGCGAGATCGCGCGATTTTCAGATAGCACCGTCGCTTAATTACTCCGATTTATCGCTGTGACCTACAAAGCACTTGGAAACAGCAAGTAAAATATTCAGCTGACCCTTCCCGCCCGACGCATGCACACTCACGCACAGTCACGCACACTCAGCCGCTAGCAAATTAACAAGCGTACGCGGCGACTCGCTCGCTCGCTCGCTCGCTCGCGTATGCGAATCCCACACACCTGAGCGCCGCGTTTGACGAAGCCACCGCGCGGTCCTAAGTCGCGGTCGATCACCTTTGCCCTAAATACGCCGCGCTGTCGATAGACGAAAATACGGGATCACAGTGTGCGATCGCGCCTCGCGTCCGAGCGCTGCAATATTTGCGAGTTCCGCTCTAACGAATGCCGTCGTTTCCCGAGAGGGGCGCGTATTGCGCCAAATTTATTCCTTTTTACGCGCGGACAAGTCGACTTTCAGCTGCTGTCGCGTCGAGCTGCACGAGCAATCGCAGCCACGAAGAAACGCGCGGCGTTTCCCGGCCGCCTAAAAATTCCATTCCACGGCTCGTGTGCGCGCTTTTCAACTTGTTCGTTCGACCGATGAAAAATTCGCGAAATTCCGTTGAATTCCTTTGCCTTCTGTCGCGATCGCCGGTCAAGCGCCATTTATTTCGACTATAGGCGATTATTATCCCCGTTCTTGACCTGCCGCGGTCGACCTTTCCAGTGAAAAATCAGTGCTCCTTCAACAAGCGCGCCCGACTCGGCTGATCGTTCGGCTTTCCAAAACGCGAAACTCCACGTCGCCCGCGCACGTCGATGTCGCGAACGAGAAATTATTGAAGAGTCCATTGTGAGACATCAAAATCAGCTTGCTCTTCTTCAAGGAATCGAATGTAGAACGCCAAAATCGCGGCCACCGACTCGCGCACTCTCTCTCTCTCTCTCTCTCCCCCTCCCTCTCTCTTTCTCTCTCACCATCGTCAAAGATTCAATATAGGGCATCCCCAAGTCGACCACCGTCTCTTTCCTCCCTCTTATTCGTCTTATCGCGACGTCGTACCCCGATCGCGCGTATTGCGATCCCCATTGTCTCAGCTGAGATATTGGGACGCAAAATCGAAACGTCGAATCACGACCGACTACCACGGCCAGAGCTCGCTCGGTGGATGAGAGAGACGGAGCAGAGAGAGAGAGAGAGAGAGAGAGAGAGAGAGAGAGAGACGAGGAAAGGGTGAGAGAGGGCTGAGAGAGGGTGAGAGAGAGAGGGAGGGAGAGAGAGAGAGAGAGAGAGAGAGAGAGAGAGAGAGAGAGAGAGAGAGAGAGAGACGAGGGCAACGACGGAGGCAGCAACAACAACAGCGGGTTTAACTTTAACCCCCGCGAGAGGTGAAGGAGGCGGTAGAGGAGAAGGAGGAGGTGGAGGTGGAGGTGGCGGCGGTGGCGGTGGTGACGGTGGAGGTGGTAGTGGTGGTGATGGTGGCGGTGGCGGTGGTAGTGGAGGAGAAGCGCAGGCGTTCATACGCTCCTGCGCATCGTTGCGCCGTTACTGCTGCTGTATACCGCGATGCGACAGTCATACGTGGGGCGCAAGAGCGGGAGGTGCTCTCTCTCACCTTCTCGTCGATCTCGATCTCTCACTTTTGGGGGAAGCTCTAGGTATTGTGCGTACGAGCACGAACCGCGGCCGTCTCGCGCGCGTCTCTCACCCCCTTCGAGCGACTCACGAGCGAGCCTCGTAATATGCACCCCCGTAGTACATACACCCCCGCGTGCACGTGTGTACATATGTGTGCGTGCGTGCGTGTAGCCGTGTGAATGCACCTTGTTACGACCTGGCGACCGACCGACCGACCGACCGACCGACCGACGAACACCCCTTAGATCGTCGCGCGCAAACCTCGCTCTCGCACGCGCGCGCGCGCGCGCGCGGGCGGGCGCGGGAACGTGCGGCGCGGCAAAAGCTGTTCGTCGTGCGAAGACGGTCTGCGAAAGAGAGATCGTGGAGAGAGTATCATCACGCGTAAGTGTCGTCTCGGTCTCGGCGCGTGTCACGGCGACGATCCGCCGATCGAACAATCGCGCGTCGAGGCGACACGCCGCGCCGCGCCGCAGCGCGTGGTCGTGCTGCTCTTTCGCGGCGTGACGCGACACGACGAGAGGTCGAGGGTAAGGGTAAGAGCGAGGGCGAGGGCGAGGGCGAGGGTGAGGGTGAGGGTGAGGTTTGTTGTTTTCACGCTGCTCGTGCTCGACGGAGCCGAGCACGGAGAACTCACGCGCGATTCTCGCCGCGCCGAGGCGTGCATCGAAGGGGTGCACATCGCAACACGCACCGAATGACGTCTCCCGATCTGCGCGACGGAATGACATTATGAGCGTCTAGTCACGTACGAGGATTGAATCCGGCGGCGGAGAAGGTAGGAATACGAGATAAGGCTGGAAAGAGTCGAGTTGAACACACCGAGAGTGAATTGTTCCGCGGGAGATCTCGGCGCGCTTCGGGGCGAAAACAAAAGCACGTACGTAAGTAAGGCGAACATCGTCAAAGCGCGACAAAGGATCGCGCCGATGCTCTCGACGTTGTTTCCTCTCATTCATCGCGGGAATTAGCAAAGCCCGAAGGAGAGCGCGTGCAGCAACAATCTCGCGCAATTTTACCTTCCGCCCGCGCGCGCGAAAAGAGAAGCCCTCTCTTGAGAGGACCTCGTGTCTAGCCGACTCGACGCGAATATTGAGCATTCGCCGCGGTCGCGTCGACTTTCAGCCCTCTGTCCTAATTGTGTAAGCGAGCGAGCCAAGCGGCTTGTTTTCGAAAGCACGCTCGCGATCGAATGTAGGTCGGAGCGTCGACGACGCGAGGGACTGAGCTTCTTCATCGCGATTCGAAGCTTCCTCCCTCTTCCGCCGGGAAACCCCGGATATCTGATTTCTTCCAATACGAAACGAAGGCGCGGCTCCCGCAGACGTGTTGTACGTGCTCGGCGTGCAGAGAGTGTGCGACGACCCGACGTTGACCCTTCCGCCAGCGAGCTCATCCACCGATAGTAGAACGACCCCGCGAATCGAATCGCCGTTTGCGCGCTCGGAGCGCGACCGAGCGAACTGCGACGCGCGGCTTCCTCGCTCGCTCCCAATCGCAGCGAGATTGCGAAAACGCGTCGAGGACGACGATTGAGAGAGAGGGAGAGAGACAGAGAGACAGAGAGAGAGGGAGAGAGTGAAGGGGGAGGGAGAGATTTGACAAAAGAGGGAAAGGAAGAGGACCGAGCGTGAAAATTTTCGTTCGCGGTACGTGGACTCGAATCGATCGCTTCGGGGGGATGCGCTAAGTCAAAGTGGGGTCGGTCAGGTTAATTGCTGTACCGCCACCAGGGCCGACGCGGGAATGTGTTTCGACGCGATCGCTACGCTCGCCAACGCGAGCCGGGACGCCGCCGCTCGAGATCGCCAGGGTCGCGAGAGGGAAACGAGCGAGTCGTTTGTTAGACGAACGGAATGATTCAGCGACGACGACATAATCGCCGGCCGTACGAATTGCACGATCGCGCGTCGTGTCGCTTTTCTCTCGATGTTTTGCTACACTCATCCCCCGCTCGCCTCGGGTCTCGATCGATTCGAAGTTCGTGACACGGGCCACAATTTTTGACTCTTTAATATAATATTCCCATGATACACGGGCAGAGATTTAACCTCATCCATTTTATCGCGCGTATTAATTGATAAAATTTCGACAAATGGATCGTCTGTGTGCAAGCGTTTCGAGTAACGCGCAATCGTATATCGAGGAACGGAGCGGCGAGAGGCAGCGAGAGGGAACATATCCTTTTCTTCCACTTTTTTTTCACTTTTAATATCGCGTCTGCAGGAACGAGACTGCATACGAAATCGCGGCGCACGATTTTCGATTCAGCGCCCCGCTCGAATGATGCGTTCGATTAATTTGGTTGATCGATCCGACGCTCTCTGCTTCTCGCTCTCTTTCACACTCTCTCTCTCTCTC